GGATCCCCCACAGGCTGACACACAGGCAGCCTATTTTAACTGCCAGGCCAAATGCTGGGCCCTGAAAACATGTTGAAATAAAACAGAGGGGGCCTCTGGGTGTAGGCAAGGCAGGCATGAGGAATGGAGTGTGGCTGCTGTTCCCATTTCCCACAAGAGTGTAGAACCCGAAGCTGAGCAGAGCGGACCTGTCCATCCACAAGAACCATTTGGAGCTGGCACAGGGCACAGGGCACACCAGCCCAGGCCCCTCCAGCTCCCTTTGCCCCATTGTCCCTGGTGTTCCCTCAGCAGAGGGCACTGACCTTCTCTCACCCCTGCATCCTCTGTGTTTGCTGACTTCCGCAGGGCCTCCAGGGCATCAGGGCAGCCGTGGCGACGGGCTGTCGAGGCAGCACGAGGCAAGCAGTGTGTGAGATGGAGACACTTGTTCCTCTTTCAGCCCTGAAAGTGGAAGGTCAGCAGACAGGTGCTTGAAGATGACCAACAGGAACCTCAACAGAACAAATTTTCTATGCCCACAGGCAGAGCTGGGATTTAGATGATTTGGCACTTGGGGTAGCATATTTGCAATCTCAGACTGGGTATAAGTCTGGGTCCATTGCCTGCCCCACTTGATTCTTTGGGTTTGTCTTCCCAGTCGAGTACCATGCTGGCTCATCCCTGGGCCCCTTTCCCACAGCACTTTGCACAGAGCCAGTGCTCCAGCAGTTCCTGTTGGTGCTCGGCATGGGGAGCTCTCACAGGGGAGCACACCACCTCTGGGACCAAAGACACTCACACAAAGCCTTGCTTTGGAGTCTGCCTGGCAGCAGGGACACTTGAGTTCTTGTCCATGCCATGAAGCTGCTCACACAAGAATGAGAGTAACCCTTTCTGGAAAAACTGGGGTCCTGGCCTTTGCTCCACCTCCCTATGCTAACCCATCTCCGCCTTAGGACACGTGCTGGGAGAGGCAAGCAGGCAAGACAAAGTGTCAATATGTGACAATCCAGGTATCCAGATTCCTCTCTTTCTGCCTCCCAGATAATTTTTATTTTAAAATATATATATATTTATTTGAAGTTCAGAACTACACACACACACACACACACACACACACACACACACACACACGCGCGCGCGCACACACAGTATGAGAGAAAGCAAGAGCAGTGTCTCTTATCTATTGGTTCATTCCCCAAATGCTGTAACTGTTGGAGCTGGGTCAGGCAAAGCTGGGAGCCAGAAACTTCCCCCACGTCTCCCACACAGGTGTAGGGGTCCAAGGACTCAGACCATCTTCTACTGCTTTCCCAGAAACTTTAGCAGGGAATTGAATACAAAGTGGGGCAGCTGGACTTGAACCGGCACTCATTTGGAATGACAGCATTGTAGGTGGCGGCTTAACACAACAATGGCCCCTTCAGATACTTTTAAGTCTGATACACATTAATTTTGTGGGTTTCATTTGTTCTTGGAAACTGGTTTATGTTAACTGTGGCTCAGTTTTCATGAAGACTCAGAAAAGTGAATGATTTCAAAATGGGTTCAAGAATCAACAGCTGCAGGTGTTAACATTCAGGAAAACCATCCTGGATGCCATTTCAGCTTTCTTTCAATAGATGAAAAATCAGCAGTAACTAGGGGAAAGTTTAAGTTCATTGGAGTAAGACCTGAGAAACACCAACGACTAGAAAGTTCCTGATGTTCTAGTTGGAAGCCAGTTTCAGTTCCAAGTCCTCGGAAACTGAGAGGAATGGAAATGGGCTAAGTCGGCACAGGCAGACAGAGGCCTGTTCTCCAAGTGTCCTATTTGCCTCCCCTCTGAACAGGACAGAACATCGTGTTTCTGATCTAGAAAGGAATGAAGGGATTAATGAAGCCAAGGCCAATAAAGGCAGCGTTTGTTTATGGGTAAATTCAGGGCAGGGGCAGCATGGGTCTCCCTGACCGCACAACCAACAATGGAAGGCAGCCTACTTCCTTCCACTGTCTACACGGGGAGGCACATGTGGGGCTTCCAGCACGGGTTCCGGCTGGGCACTCGCCACTGCAGCCAAGCCAGGCACTGGGTGCTCCTCAGCTGGCATCCTAACGCCAAGCCCAGGGGCTTCCCTGCCATGGACTGACCCATGAATGGGGTGCTGTGCTGTTTCTGGTCTGTCACTAGCATAGCCTGGGCTGCCAGTGCAGGGCCTACGTCCACCTCTCCATCAGGGCCAGATGTTTACCAAACTAAACATGAATTCTGTTGTCATATTGGTACTGAATAGGGTGGGGTTTATCAAAAACATGCTAAGTCATTTTTTAAATACAGTAACAACTGGTTACTCACAGATGAATGACAAGACCAAACCAGAGCTGGTATACAGCCACTAGCACAAATATAAATTGGGGGGGGGGGCGGCATTATAGTGTAGTGGTTGAAGTCCTTGCCTTGCACACACCAGGATCCCATATGGTCACCAGTTCTAATCCTGGCAGCCCTGCTTCCCATCCAGCTCTCTGCTTGTGGCCTGGGAAAGCAGCCAAGGACGGCCCAAAGCCTTGGGGCCCTACACCCATGTGGGAGACCTGGAAGAAGCTCCTGGCTCCTGGCTCCTGGCTTCGGATTGGCTCAGCCCCAGCTGTTGTGGTCACTTGGGGAACGAACCATTGGACGGAAGATCTTCCTCTCTGTCTCTCTGTATATCTGCCGTTCCAATAAAAATAAAGTAAATCTTAAAAAAAACAAAAAACAAATATAAGTTGGGCGGGATGAACTGGAAGACAAGTGAAATTCTGTGATAATAAGAAATATTAGTCTGTCAGTTGCTTCTCTCCAGCAACAATCCTGAAAGACATGATCCCAGGAGCTCCCCCTTCCAAACCGTCCCTTGGCTGCGTTCTTTTCCTTTCTGATCGCTGCTAGTTCTTACTTGATGGTAACGACACATCAGACTTTTCCATTCACAAACCAGCTACCTGATGCACTGGCCTGGGCAGGTCCCAGGGCCCCACACGTTACAGCCTTGCTGGCTTCTGGTGTGTTTGGGTACGTGTGTTCACCTGACCAATGGGAGTGACTCTTCCCCAATGGGCAGGTCCAGCAGGCACCTTAAGCAACAGGCTCAAAGCACCTTGCAGAATTTTGTTTTTTGTTTTCCTGCCCACGAGGAATAAGGAATCGGACGGTGTTCACGGATGACTCTCACATCTCAACTATAATTCCTCATTCTTCCTCTTGTTATTTCTATAGCTCAAGTTCCCAATGCAAACAGGACCCATTGCAGGAACAAGTCGTTGTCAGTACCACCACCTTACAAAGCAGAGGACCATGGCACAGGAAACAGTGCACATACTCCTGTGTCCCTGCCACATCTGACGGTTCTGGGACAGCTGTGTATTAGGCTTCTAGGTGGAAGTAAGAAACGCTACTGCGGCAGGTTGGGGGGACAAAGAGTCAAGTCCAGTTCCACGAGAGTCTACACTCACCAGCAGGTGGCGCTGTGACAAAAGCAATCAGAAGAAAACCAGTCAGACAGGCCTGGTCTCCAGGCCCCTTGTCAAAGCCGGTACTCCCTGGCTGTCCCAGGGCTCCCCAGCCTCCAGGGTCCCCAGTCAGGTGCTTTTATTCTATCAGCTGGCTGCGAGCCAGAGTGAAGCTTCTGCGCTAAGTGCCTGCACGAGCCCTTTCCCAATTACCTGAATTTCCCAGCAGAAAGCAAACTATAGCAAGCAGGAGCCAAGACTTCCAAGATGCTCAAAGTGTTAAGAATATTCAAAAAGCACTTCCTAATTTGGTGCACAGCTCAACACGTCCGTTTAGGCACTATCTCATGAACACATATGAGAATGAAAGGAGTCTCCTATGCAACAGCATGAAGACCCGTGTCTCCGTCTCCTTGGCCACACAACACATGCTCAACTAGACAACTCATCATTTGCACACTCTCTTCGTCCCAAGCTCCTAAGGGTGCCACTGCACCCTTGATCTGCACAGCAGCTAACGTGCAGCACGAGTATGGAACTCCAGACTTCCATGAGACATGGAAGGAAGCACGCATTGGCTGCCAATCACGCAAGTCAGGAAAGGAGATGTCTTCTTGGCACACACCAGTACTAGGGACCCAGAGTCCCGAAGCTCCTGCCATCCCCCGACAGCTGTGGGGCAAGTGGTCTACCCCGGCAGCCTGTGACGTTGAGCTCTGCCCAGAGCAGCACCTAAAGAGCAAGGCAGAGAACAGTCCAGATGCCAGGCAGGGGCCAGGGCACTTGTGCCCAAGCCCACAGCCTTGCCCGTCAGCTCCGATCTGCAGGGTGGAGGGTGAGGACTGAAGGAGGCAGAGACTGCAGTGTCACAGGGGCCAGCTCCTGATGTGGCTGTGCCTCCACCTACCCAGCCGGAGGGGGAGAGCCCTGGGAGCGCCTAGCAAGTCTAGCTCCCACGGTCCCTGGGTCACTCAGAGGCCCGAGATGAACAGATCCTTCTGGCCCGGCCTCTGTGGCGTCCGACGGGCACCATCTGCAAGCTGACGGACATGAAGCCATCACCAAGACGAAGCCAGAGTGCTGGCCTGGCTGCCCAGGGCGGGATGCAGACTGACACTGAGTCTCTAGCAAATCACTTCTGCTCACGGTGCAGAGGGGCCGGCCAGCCCTTACCTTCGCTGCTCAAATAAAAGGCATTTTAACCTGCCTGTGGGCTCGGGGTTCCGGCGAGCTGAGTGTGAACTTGGCTTTGTGGGAGTAGCTGTTTCCCAGGGAATCTCATCTAAGCAACCTCAACTTTACATAAAAATAATCAGAAATGAAAAGGCTGCAAGGGAGCTATATGCACGGCCCAGCCACAGGTTAACTTTACTACTTCATTCAATATGAGTTATTTAGTTGGGTCCTTAAAAAAATAATCGAAGTCAGAAACGTCCAATGCCCCCCATACCCCCCAGAGCCAAGCTGCTGTGATTATCTCTGACACATCTGGCTGCTGAGACAAAAGCAGATGGGTCCAATACTTGTAAATTTCATATTTATTATAACAAAAATTATGACATGTCCGTTGTGCATTCTGCTTTAATAGAACTCTGGGTATTTCCATGGTCTGTGGGAGCTCTATACAGGCATGCTGAGCGCGGCAGCAAGGAACACAGACCGTGTCCGGGCAGGGGGAAGGACGCAGGCCCGGGGCCTCGGGGGGCAGGCTCCCGTCCAGCGGCCCAGATCCGCCTCCCCGCTGCCTGTGCTCGGCCTCCTCCCTGGACGCCCCGAAGGTGTGCGTGCTGCAGGGGTCCGCGAGACCCCAGGGACGGCGTAGACGAGGAGAGTCAGTTATTAGGGCTGTATCCTTATGCCAAGACTACAAAACATCGGAAGCATTGCTATACAACACTCAACTATTTACAATAGAAATTTCTCAATCAACTGTTCTCTCAGAGAAAATGAGCGGGTCTCAGTGACTTGGGTCACCTGACAGGGTACAGCAACTCCTAAGAGTTAGTCTCCATATTCTACAAATGTCTATCATTTTCAAGACAAAAGAAAAAAAGCCTCCCCCCCGAAAGAAATACAGAATTACAATATTATTAAGTCATTCAGCAACGGCAACCTGCCCTGCCTTGCCACACAAACAAAACCAAAAGCCATTTTAAAAAATATTACATTATCATTAATTGTCTCTCTGTAATATATTAAACCTTTTGTTCTGTCTTTACACATCTGATATGTTAGAAGAAATTAACAAATTTAAATCATATTCATAAAGCATCACTAAAAGAAAAGTGGTTATTAAAAAAAATAGGAGAATCTACAGATTAGCTGCAGACAGCCGGGAACAGTGTGTGGGAGAAGGATGTGGAGTTGAACCCCTGGTTTAATGTGAGCCTGGGAGACTCTGCCACTTGGCCTTGCTTGGTTAGTTTATTGTTTAAATAGTACTCAGAGCGGGTCATAGTGGTGTATCGTAATAGTCTGGCAGCTGGTCCACCGGGAACGGCCGTGGCAGCGGCGGCTGCAGCGGGGGCACCGGGGGCTGCTGCAGTAGGGGAGCCGGGGGCGGCTGCACCACAGGCGGCTGCAGCAGGTGCGCCGGGGGCGGCTGTACCAGAGGCGGCTGCAGCGGGGGACCCGGAGGCTGCAGCTGCTGCTGCTGCTGCTCCTGGTGATGCTTCATGATTTCTTTGACTTCCTCTTCCAGCTCTGGAGGAATGATGAACTGATCGTCAGGATCCGGCTGAGCTGGGGCAGCAAAATACCCTCCAGGCTTCCTCAGCGGAGCATCCGTGGCCACCTCGATCACGTTGTGGCTCCTCTCCTGGGGCGCCACGGAGCCATTTGCCCGCCGGCGCCCCATGGTCCCCACAGCGGAGAAGTCTGCCTTCCTGGGCAGGCCCGGCTCGTCCTCGTTGGCGCTGATGACGATACCTTCATCGCTGGCCTCGGCCGGCCCCTGCAGCAGCTGCTTCTCCTTCTCCTTGGCCCGGCTGCAGTGGATGTCCACCTCCACCTCCACGCGGCTGCCGTTGGTGAAGACGCCCTCGATGGGCTCTTCATCGTCGCTGTCCAGGCCGTTGTCCGAGAAGGCGCTGGAGAATGTGGCGCTGGACAGCTGCCGCTGGAAGGAGTTGGACAGACACACGGGGTGCAGCATGCAGCGCTGCTCGCCGGGGCAGGCGGGGCTGCTCTCGCTCAGGGCCCCGCTAGGGGGCTCGTCGGAGGCCGTGGACCCCACCTCGCTGCTCATCTCAGAGGTGGAGAGCTCGCTGCTTATCTCGGACGCCATGCCGCTGCTTGAAGAAGGCACGCCAAGCCCATCAGAGGGCCGGTCCTTGATGACCATGGTAACAGAGGGCGCGAAGATGCCAGGGCTGGGTGGCGGCACGCTCCCACTGGCACCGAGCTCGCAGCAGCAGAAGCTGTCCTCGGCGACGCTGAGCTGCACTACCACGGCACTGATGCTGTCGTGGCAGCCGTAGCTCTGGGCCAACGTGCACAGTTTCTTGGCAGCAGCTAGGGCATCAGGCACATTGCGCACGGCCTCCACAGCTTCCTGAATGGACAGGCTGTCCCACAAGCCCTTGCTGCCCAGGATGAAGAACTCGTCCTGGGGCGTCAGGAGCACGGACTGCACATGGGGCCGGGGCACCACGCTGGGGTGCAGGAAGGTGTAGCCCAAGATGCGTGTGGACTCAGTCACGCCGTTCACCTTGCCATCCTGGAAAAGAAGGATTCCCAATCAGACAGTTCTGTAGGTTGCCTTGGGCAGCTGGCAGTTGCACTGTGCCTCTGAATGTGAGTGGCCTGCAGAGAGAAGGACCGCTTACCTGCACGAGGACCTGTCACGGAAACCCCAGCAGCAGGACTGGGCAGGGAAGGAGAAGCAGGCGCAAAACCAAAGTGTTGAGATCGCCCGCTCTGCTGGGATCCTGTTCGCATCGGGAGTGAGACCCGTCTCTGTGAAGCTGACCGTCTGCCAGCATCCCACAGCTAGCAAGGCTGGGAGCTCTGCCTGCAAGCCCAGAGGATTCCAGGGCACGAAGGGGCTGGGGCATGCATGTCCTGAACACAGACACAGGAGACACGCCCCCACGGCATGCTGCTCTCAAGCAGCTGGAGTGTCTGAAGGTCCCAAAGAAGGACAGACACTGCCAGGACTTACTAACCAGTGAAGAAAACCTTGGGGGCAGCTGGCTTGAGTGATCATGCCTGTGGAAGCAGATGCTAAGGGAGAGGTGCCAAGTCTTACGATTTCCTTGCAGCAAATGGAGAAGGCAAGGTTTTCTGGCTTTGGTTCAGCTGTGCTTAAGCCATTTACATTAACAGCCAAAGTTCCAGACCATTTGCCAGCAAAAAGACCTTTATTTTTTTCCTACCCCCATGCACCTGTTGATTCTTCCAGTCTGAAGTCTTCAGGTCTGTAACACGCCTCTTCACACCTTTAGTTTTCACACCTCTTTCCAGAGAAGATTCCAGTGCGACAAATGCACCTTTCAGTGCCCACCTAGTGAGCAACTGTTGCTTTCAGAAAACATGCATTTCTCTCCAGCTCTATGAGGGACGATGCACACGCAGCTGCTGTCAGCTCCTCATCCAGTCATAAGCAGGCAGCATTTGCACAGTAAGCTCTGAGTGCCTGCCCAGCCTTTGGTTCTCTCCCCCAACTCAGAACCAGTGGTTTTGCGTATCTGATTTTTGATCATTAACTTGAGTCCCATTAGGCATCAGGTTGAGGCTTACACTCAACACACCCAGAACCACAATAGGTTGATTTTGATTCCTGGTAGTGTACATTTAAATCTTCTCTGCTCCTACGATAGGCAGAACTGAAATGTACTCATTTCCACAGCCATCTGTGATATATGATGAGTCCCTTAAATCTAGAATCTGCCCTTTTCTGTAGCGGACTACAAACTTTCATTAAATTCTACCTCCTGAGTGTGTATGATTCCGTCAAGGAGAGGACCGCACAGGCTCTCATCGCTGTGCCCCACATTGTTCCATCCACACAGCAGATGACTCGCATCATATTCCATGTTGTAGAATAGAGCTTCCGGAGCCCATTGGGGATAACTTCCTGGTCATGAACCTTGTCACACTACAGGCTATCCTGCCTGCTGTGGGATTTGCAACACCCTGGCCTCGACCCACCAGATGCCACTAGCACTCTCAACTCTTGCTGTGATGATCAAAACACAGACAGATGCTGCCCCATGTCCCAAGGGGTGGGCAGGAACTGTCACCAGCTGGGAGCCACTCACTGTGCCACTCCAAAAGAATACAAGATGTCACCCAAAAGGACACATCCACTGTCCGAAAGGCACACATACCTTCTAAGACCAGAAAGACCCAGGTACAACACCATTCTCACTGTCTATACAAGAAGCTGGGCTCAGGCACATTCAGGCAATAGCCCTCGTGTGGCAGAGTGAAGCTCTGAGAGCCAGCAGTGTGGGGTGCTCACGACCCAATCCAGTGCCTGCACAAAGGGGCTCATGGGGTTAAATGGTGGTGTCACCAAGACGGTACTCGGCCAGGCATCTGGCACAGAGAAATGCTTGAATCTCCTCTTCATTAAATGTCTTTGGATATGCTGGACAAGCAATTTGCTCTGTGTCATTCTGGATTTGAAGCTCTAAGTTTAAACCAACTTCAACAACGTTCTTGGAAGGCAGCTGCTCCCTCCTGGTTTCTGCCTTGGCCCAGCCCTCCTCACCGATCCACGCAGCGACATTTCTCCTTACCTCAGTGACAATGGCCTTGTGCTGTTTAATCCTCTTCAGCTCTTCTTCACAGCTCATGACATACGATGCAGACAGCGGCAGCGGCTTCCCGTTGCGACAGAGCACAGTTTGGCACTTGCCCACATTGGCAGAGGTCAAGGTGAAGGAGCCTCCTGGGTCCACAGGGTCATGCTTGATGTGGCAGAGGACAGCAGACCCTCCAAGCTTCTGCCCGGCAGTTCCAAGTTTCCTAGAATCCAGAAAGAGTTTGTTTTTATTCATCAGGAGGACCGCACCCCTTGCTCCGGAGGGCCAGGAGAGGGCTGGGCCCTGGGGACACAGGGAACTCAGCCTCCATCATCTAAGTATGCACGATGCAACCTCTTGGAGGAATTGGACAGCACCCATGCCCATACCAGGAGGTGGGGAACCAGTCTGGAAGGAATGAGCCCTTGGACTGCTGTGCCCCCATCAACTACACTGCATGCTCCAAAGACAGCAGGAAAAGTGCCCAGCTCTCCAGCTAGCCCCTGCTCCCAGGAGAGCAGGTCAGATCACCAGGTATGAATTCACACAACACACCCACTAGCCACTGCACCTCAGGACCAGGCCAACAGCCTCCCTCCTTTCAGTAAGTGTGCGCCCCCGTAAGAGTCTTTCAGTATTGAATTGGTTCCCATGCCTGCCTTACAGAGCAAGCATTTCAGGACCAGCACTATTTATTCCAGAAGATGCACTGAAGGAATGTTGTGATGTGCTTATGCTTTACCCTCCCTGCATGCCCACTGACCTGCAGATTTACGAAATACATGAAGTGTGTGCAAACTCTGACAACCCAAAGGAGCAAATAAGTGCCACCAACAAATGGTGACACTTGTCATGTCCTGCTCTTCCTGAGTGGCAGAGAGTAAGACAGTTAAGATAAACAGGTTCCCCTGTGTGACCACAGCAGCTATGTTGTGTGTCAGTGTGCTTGGAGACACGGCTGCGTATCTGCATGTGCTAGAGCAGGCACAGGAACAAACAGCTACTCTAAGCATCAAAGAGCTCCTCACACACCATCGCGCTCTAAGACAGGGATCCCAGGAGGCACACATGAGACCCTGGGGCTAGGCTGGCAGCCTGCAGACAACACAGCTGGCTGTGGTTTTAGGCCCTGCCAGGGCAGTGCTGCTAACTTCCTTCCCAAGGCACGGTGACTGGTGACGTGCAGTGATCAGAGTGTGAGGTTCTCAGTTTTGAATTCTTATCCAGAAATTGAGGGACCACAGAAAAGGAGACTCTGGGAGTTTCCATGGGTGCAGGTGCAAACATGCACACCTGTGTGCATGTGGGACACGTGCTCATGGCTTGTCTACAACAAGACTACTAAGTCGACACTGGACACAACACTCTCTCGTTCTTACTGCCAGGGGAAAGCACTGGCAACACCAACTACTACACTCAGAGTTCCCTGCCTTACGTCTCGTACCTCGGTTCCGCTCAGGGAAATGAGCAGAGCAGCAGGGCCTGTCTACAGGAAGCACACAAGGCACTTCCAACACGATTGTGCAGACATAGTGGGGCTTGATGCCTCTCAGCTATCCTCGTTGCTCCATGGCTAACCATATGCAACCACTGGGATCTGCACTGGGTGAGTGCTGCCACAAAGAACCACATCAGGCCTGTCTCCCCGGGTCCTTTAAGAAGAACTGTTCATGACTTAGCTATGCCTCTCAAGACCTCATGTACCCACATTGTTGAGAAGGCATTTCTCCCACTTCCCAAGAGAAGGGAACATCCTGCAGCCGAGCACAAAGAGGGAGGAGCAGCTGACAGGGAGGGTCATTGTGCCCATGATCTTCAGACTGCTCATGGGTCTGACATGAGGAAGGGTCTACAGTATACTTATAGACAGACAACTCCCTGACGCTAAGATAAGAAGGAGTAATTATTTGAGCAAGGGAAACCTTGCACCATTCGGGTCTGAGATGCCCGAGGAGCCCGAAGCTGGCCGTAGGTGGGAGCTCTAGGACTGGCTGGAGGTCCTGCTGGTCAGACTGTTTTGGACAATTAACAGGGGGCAGGACGGGGACAACACAAAAACAGTTACATAACTCCTGCTTATAACATGCCTATTCCATTTCACAAGGTTCGCACTATCTTAAACCAGTGACAGTATTTCATAAGGGTCAATAAACGGGGGTAGAAATGGTGCATTTCAAAGAACACTCCACACATCAGAAGATCTAAAGAATCCGCGGAACTCAAGCAATTTGGGTGGTGCCAAGGGTGGAGTGGGGGTGGCTGTCATCATTAACAGGCTGGAAAAAATACGGTATCACAGGCCTGTGAGCTCCAGCTCTCACAGAAACCAAATTCCTGGCTATGACTCAACCCTCTAGAAAGTTGTCTAAACACCCGTGTGTCCAACTGGATCCTGGGCCCTCCCTGACGCTTGGGCAGCACCAGAACTAAGTGCACACTGGTGCCCGTCACCAAGCATAGCACTTTGAAATGAGTGTGTAAGCCCGTCAAGAGCAAGAAAACACACCAAGGACCCACCTCTGCATAACAATGAATGTATTGACCATGTATTCTTCTTCATTTTTTGTTTTCTGCAGCTCTTCAGCCAAAATGTCACTCATGGTACACTGGAGAAGGTAGGGCACCTCCACATTCCGGTCTCCATCGAACACACCATACAGGGCCTCCCGGTTGTCGCAGAAGTTATTCACCGACAGGGCTGCCACACACAACCTGCAAAGCACATGTTTTGTGTTGAGTCTGTTCCATCTGTCCTTCTCCCTGCCCAACCGAACTCCACTTTTCCCTCCCGATCTGCTCCTGCAGCTTTGTCTCTTTCTTAATGACTCTGGGCAGACTCTGGGTAAACTGTTCCCAGCTAATTTACGCCAACCAATTCCTATAAGCAGAGAATTTCCAACATATATTATGCTTCACACAATATGCTTTCCCACCTGTCACTTTTGAGGATTTGATTTTTTTAAGGGAGGAAAGAGAACAGGAGGAAGGTGTGAGAAATAATACAAGATAATACATCTGTATTTATAGATTTCTTTAATAAAGAAGGTGAAAAAAAATTTAAAAATAAAGGAGGTGAAATCTCCATATCTGGCCAAAATAAACACCAAAATGCTGAAAAAAAAAAACAAATGAAAGTTTAATTTAAAAAAAAAGAGCAAAACAAACAAACAATAGCACTCAGGCAATGAGACACCCAAGTCCACGGCCTCTAAGGAGGTCCCTGGTGCTCTGCTGCCTGCCGGCACAAGTCCAGGCCGCGTCCCTGGGAGGAGCATCCAGGCAGCAGTGGCGGTGGCCCCAGCAGGTGGGTCTGCAGCTGAGGCAGGACAAGCAGGCCCAGTGGCAGCGCAATCATACCCAGGCAGGACCTGCAGGAGTAGAGCTGCTGGGAGCCAGCCCTGGCGTGGCAGGACACTTTCCCACTCCAAACTCAAAGCACCTGCATTTAACTGTGTCCCAGAAACTATACAAAATGCAACAAAGAGGGCTGGGTGTGTGGGGGGAAGGGCTGGGGGAGGAGCAGACCTTTGTAACTGGTAGAATTCCTTTAAATCACATCAAGTTGGAATCTTCCAAAGAGGGGAAAGAGAAAACATTCAAGCATTTAAGTCACTGCAAAAATTTCAAACTAGATGAAACCTGTAAACCTATCAACAGGAGAAGCTCAACAAACTGCAAACAAGCAGAACCTGGGGCACATTAAAATCTACCTGCTATAAGCCAAGAACAAGTGCAGGAGGATGAGGTGGGAGCAAAAGGCCACGGGTGACGGTGACATCTCGTGGGCAACAGCGCTGGGGACAATGGAGTCTACGGCACCCAGAGGAAAGAGGGAACACTAAAGACAACCGAGGCTCATCCACCAGCAGAAGCAGCTTTCAAAACTTAAGGTGAAATAAAGACATTTCCAAGAGCATGAATAAAAGCATTTGCCACCAGAAGGCTGGCACTGCAGAAATGTAAAAAGAAATCCTTGAGGCAGAAAGAAACGGCACCAGATGGAAATCTGAATTTATACAAAAGGATGAAGCACACTGGAAATGACAAATAGGTGAGTAAATACGAAAAAAAAATCTTTTTGAAATCACTTTGGAACAGTGAGTCTAAGCAGGGGCGATTCTGCCTCCAGGAAACATTTTCCTGACACGATGGGGGTGGGGTCAGCTGTGCTCCTGGCATCTGGGGGGCAGAGCCAGCAAAGCTACTAAACACCCTGTGGTGCCCAGCCCTGCCTTGGAGTGTGCACAGCACTGAAGCTGAGAGGCACTGTGGCAGAAACATCACGTAGTTCACAACAGGCAGAGAACTAAAACTCACGCTAACAGACCAAAAGGCACAGAGGAAGCACACGGACCCGTGAGGTCCTACACAGGAAACAACACAATGCCAGCTGAAGGTGGACAGCAGTCATAAACCCCAACAACCTGCCCACAAAGCTGGAACTAAAAAAAAGATAAAGTTAGAGGAGGCATAAGAAAGAACACAAAAGGTTGAAGAAAAAGAAAATAAAAAATCAATGAGACAAACAGAAAACAACATTAAGTTGGAAGGTTTAAAACTTTCCGTCTCAAAGATATCATGAGGCATAAAGGGTCTAAACACTACACTAAAAAAGCTAGAGAGGATAAAGAAAAAAAGCAAGCCTTAATTATAAATCACTTAGAAGAAAGCAATTTTAAATATAGGGACAAGTAAGTTAAACATAAATGAATAAGAAAGGGTAGACCATGCCAGCTTTAATCTAAAGAAAGCTAAAATGGCTGATAGTTTTTTGTGTACTTCAGAACAAAGAACTCTACAGAAACAAACAGGGATTTTTGTTTGTTTTAATGGAAAGTCAAGATATACAGAGAGGAGGAGAGAGAGGAAGATCTTCTGTCCACTGATTCACTTCCCAAGCAACAGAAAGGGCAGATGGAAGCTGCGCCAAACCAAACCAGGAGCCAGGAGCCTCTTTCGGGTCTCCCAAGTGGGTGCAGGGTCCCAAGGCCACAAACAGGGAACTGGATGGGAAACGGCGCTGCCGGGATTAGAACCGGCATCCATATGGGATCCCGGTGCATACAAGGTGAGGACGTTAGCCACGAGGCTACTGTGGCAGGCCCAAGCAGGGTCTTTCATAAGGATGAAGAAATCAGTTCATCAGGAAGCTGTAACATGCTTAGTACAGACTTTCAAAATATATGAAGCAAAAACTGCTCTAAGAACAAAGCACATCTGTAAGTAGCACCCCTATCACCAAGAGAACAAGAAAGAAGATAGGAAAATCAGCACGGGTATTTAGACTTGAGCAATATTACCAATCGCTGTTGACACTGCACCACACCCAACCAGAGCAATTCTTCCCAAATGCACAGACAGGCTTTACTGAGACAGAGCCTAGACACAAAAGCAAAACCTTGCTCTGAGAGCATCAATAAAATTGATAAACTCCACAGCAGCACAAAAATCATTGGTAAAATTACCAACAGAAGGAATGAGCAATTCAGGGGCGTTGTCATGTATCCACGGATATTAAAATCTAGAAACAGAAAATACCATTTATTCAAGAAAGTAAGAAGTAATTTTATACAAAAGAAACTATGTTTATTTAAAAGTCAAAATTCGAAAGAATTTGAATGGAAAAAGTCACAAAGAAAATCGCAAGCCCAGATGTTCTCACTAGTGAATTTTTTAAATAAAAGAAGATGTAATATCAATTTTCTATCAACCCTTCTAGAAAACTCAAGAGGAAACCCAGCAGCTAATTGCAGGAAGCCAGCACTATTTTAAAATGAATCAAGACTAAGGAAGAGCCAGATGATCACCCTAACTGATGCGGAAATAAGTCTAAGATATTTTTAATAGAAGACACATTTACCTCAATTATTTACCCAAGAGATGAAAATACACATTTACCCCAAACCCAATATACAACTGCTTAGAGCATTTTTTATTTGTAAGTGCTAAAAGCCTGAAGCAATCTAAACATTCTTCAAATGACAGATGAAAAGGCAACCTTATACAACCATGTAATGGAATTCTACTCAGTGTAAACAGGAACAAACTACAAGACATGCAGCAACTCAAATTCAAGTGCATCATGTGAAGTGCAAGCAGTCACACTGAGAAGGCTGACCCCGGAGGAGTCCCATCTGGGTGACATGCTGAAAAATAATGGGACCAAAATCTAGCAAGAGTGGCCAAGGTCTGGGAGTGAGAAAAACTGACAAAAAACAGGCATGGGTGAGTGTAGGCATTAATGAAGTTACTGCTTTCTATTTTCACTGTGGTGATGAGAATGTAGGGATATTCTTTCACCAAACATGCAGTATAGCATGCTAGAAAGGATGAATTTTACCAAACGCATACTGTGCCTTCTTGTTGTAATAACAGAAAAACAAATCCTGAGTAACCACAACGGATCATAGATAGATACAATGCATATATAAAATACAATCCCTGCCCTTACGGAGTTCAGGGATCAATAATGATAGCAATCGTTGGTATTAACAGAAGGCAATATTGAAATCAGATTCATCGGCTGGCACACACTGCTCTAAGTAGGTCATGTAAATGAACTCAGGCGATCCTCCCGCAGCCCCAGGAGGACGGGCAGCTTCCCCCTCACTAACAGAGGAACTCAAGCTCGAGATTTGCCTAGGTGCTCATGATTACGTAACAAGTGCAGAGTCCAGATTCAAAACCAGGCAGTTGGGCTTCTGTTTCAAGACTTTGAAATTCTTGCCTCCACATATTAAAAAAAAAAAGTCAACACTAAATTATACAGTCATTACTGGCATAATTAAACCTGATAACCACAATCGTGTCTTCTAAGTTCCCCCTTGTTGGAATGGATTCATGTGGAGAGGACATAAAGAAATACTGCCCCACAACCCCAAAGTACAGCAGTGGCCACTCAGAATTTCTTTCAGCCATACTCTCATTTGTTTTTTAGCCCGAGGAGCAGCCTAAATTACCCACCTGCAGCTCCCCACTTGGGTTCCCCCAGAGGATTTGAAATGAGCTGACAGCACTGACACTGGCCCCCAGGGGAAGGAGGCAGGGAGAGAACAAGACTTCGCTGAGACTGGGAAGCAGGACAAGCACAGCCCCCTTCCCCGCTCTCCCCAGCCCTGCCCCTGCAGCAGGCTCCTTGCTCACATGACCATTATCCACAATGCAGAAGGCAAACAAAGCAAGAAGCCAAACACACCGAAGAAACCTTGGCAAAACCCAATGATACAGAGCAAGGGCCCAGACAGGCCGGGACTTCCTGGCGCTGCTCACTGCCAGGCCTGGAGCTGGCTGGGATTCACCTGAGGACAGTTCATAAAGCTGCTTTGGTGTTTTCCTGTAATTGGCTCACACATCAATATAGCAAACGTTACAACCAGTAACTGAGGAAGGGAAAATTATGCAGAAAAAACACATCTAATGTTTTCTTGTTTCACTGATGTGTATGAACAGACCCAATGCAATCATATCTAGTGCAAAGTGCACAGAAATCAGGCGCCAGATGCCAGCCTCCTCTGCTGAGCAGACAGAAAGCAGGTGCCAGAGCGGGAGTTCCTCTTCCCACCACAGCCCCGGACAAGGGGACAGGATCTGTGTGTGAGACCCAGAACTATCCTCTTTAGCAGTGGGCACAGCAGCAAGCTCTGCCTCGACCTCCCACGTGGGCACAGAGCCAGTAAGTGGTTCAAGCCATACATACATCCCACCCACCCGGGGTCCTACTGACTTGATGGGTCCAGCCTGGGATTTTTTAACCTCTTCACCTGATTCTAACACAAGCCCTGGGCTGAACACTAGTGGTATCCTGTATTGGATTCTCTTCCACTGTCTTCCTTCCCCTACTCTCGATACCTTGTGCTCTTAAACTAACTAAGCTTAGACTATCCTAGTTTGTAAGGTCCTTTTCTTTTCTAGTAATGATCTCTTCATACAACACAAGTGAGCCTGAAAAGCTGGGTGATGTTTCTCAGGAAAATCAACATTTTTATCTCGGAGAGAAAGCTGGTAGACACAGGAAAGACAGAGATAAAGGCGGATTAGTTCGGTGGCAAGACGTGCAGGTGACATCACAGGGAGCAGACTTCCAACTCCCGCCAAGGTGATGTGCATCAGAAAGACAGCGCCCCAGTGCATCAGGTGAGCGATCCCGAGCACGGACAATCAAGGCTACCAATCCTTAATAGTACCCCTGTTCGGCTTGGTAAACAGGCTTCAGAGAAAGAGAAAGGGTCTTTTCAAAGGAGCAGGGATGCATTTCAATACTTAGCCCTTTTCCAAACACTGGAGCCTTACACAGATACAATGTGGCAGTTACACCGTAGCCTAGCAACGGTCTCACAAAGGGAGCGCATGTGACGCCAAGGGGGACCTCGGCTTGCCGTTCAAATGTAAGTCATGAGGGAGTCTCGCTTTGCAGACTCGCCACAGCCTGTGTTTGCTGCTTCCCCAGTGGAGAAGTGAGGCTGGCAGAACGCAGTGCAGCTTTCAAAGTTTGGTCTGACTTACTTGTTTTTCACCCCCGATGCTTCAGTGTAGCCATGACTCCACACGGCTGGGGCTCCAGATGCATCTCCTGCCGAAGGTTGGTCAATCTTGAAACAGCGGATGTTACTAGCAAGGGAAACAGGGAGGGAACACTAACCATTAAAACCAGCTTTGCCAGCTGTTATCTTCATTCGAGAAATGAAAAGCTACCGCTAGGCACTTTATACTCACCACTGCCCACTGTGTGTCCTATGTCTGAAATACTTACCGGCAACCAGAACCAGCTATCTGTTGTAATGAAAACCAAGGGGCATAGAAACAGAGCAGCAAAACAGCCCTAGGGGATGGTGTAGTGGCACTACAGTTTGAGCCACTACCTGCTAACACCAGTACCCCATACCGGAGTGCTTATCTGAGTCAAGCGGCTGTGCTAACACACCTGGGGAAGAGGTACAAGATGGCCCAGGGACTCGGTTCCTGCAACCCACATGCGACACCCAGATGCCGTTCCCGGCTCCGTGCTTCAGCCGGCTCAGACTGACCATCAGAGCCACTGGGCAGTGAACAAGGGGATGGAAGACCTCTTTCTCTCTTCCAGATAAATAAAAATAAATCCTTCAAAAATTAGTTTTTATGGACATTATAAAGCAGTCACTAGAGAGTTTGCTATCCTCTACATTCAAGGCTGTTCAGTTCTGGGAATGTAGAAGATAGCCTTGGCATGAACAAAGTCTTTTAATTATTAGGACTGATCAACTCTTGGATATGAATACCCAGACTTGAAAAAAAATAAAACAAAAGCCACAATTATGCTGTTCAAGTGATAGGCAAGAATTCTGCAACTTCCCTCCCCAAATTCAATTTCTACCCATATCATTGCTTCAAATATTAGCGAATCTTATCAAGAACTTGACATTCCCAAGCACTTCTAAAACCACCCGTGTTAAGACTGCTAGCATGAAATAAATCTATATGTAAAATTGCTAAGTAAACAAGAGGGATTTTAATATATTACAAAAAACCTCCATGTATTTAAACTGGACTTCAGCTCCAGTGGACATAACTGGTCCCCAAGGATCCCAAACACAAGTAGCAAATGCTAAACTCTTCCTTACGAGCCGGGCTGCTAGAGCATCCAGTGCCCACAGACAGGAGCTGTGACAGATGGGGAAGCAGGAGAGCAGAAGGTTGCTCCCACGTGGCTAAACAAATCATGCCTTCTTGTAATCCATAGGATTTTTTCTCCCATTCAATGAAAGTATATGCCTCACCTCTTTTCAACAACCTCTAACTACTTTTGCCGAGGTCCCAAGAACTCCAACGATGCGCTGCCATTTCTTAATTCCCAAATCTAACATTGAATATCCTTCTGTAGACTCAGTTAAAATCCTAAGTTTAACTGGTACCCACCTTGATTCTAGAAACCACTAGAGACAAAAATCACTGATTTAAAAATATTTGTCTAAACAATTTCTATTTTCAATTACATCAAAAATTTTTAGCCAATTATTAAACATTCACTTTCCTCATATCCTAAAAAGCCAAGAAAACATACACCATGTAGGGCGGCAACAGAAAACATCTAAGCCAAATTAATGCCTCATTTTAGCGTGGCTTCAAATCCTCTTTGCCAAGTTTTCTTATTGATAAGCAAGACGTCTGAACAAGGCAGTTCTCCACACTTCTCCACGCTTGGCCGGCACGCAGGTGCACCTGTCTGGAACCTCAGCCCCCGAGCGTCTCGGAAAGCCCCGATCCCAGCCTCTCACCACATTGCTTTCTCAGATTCTGTGGAATGTGAAGGCTCATGTCTAAAACACTCACACAGTACAAAGTCTTCAAAGAACTAAATCTATTTCCCAGACTGATGCTTTGCTTTGCTTCTGGGCTGTGGGGGCAGAAGGCAACTCTTTTTACTAGTTTGTCATTTGTCTTTTAGATTTATTCTTCACAGTTTATGAATATTAATATTTATAACTTCTATGTATAAAAGGCTTGGATAAAAACATCTGCAAACTTTACATATAAAAAGTTCATGTTTAAACTTATATAAAACAAATATTAAAATCAATCTACATACTGATTTCTTCTAAGTTTTTTCTCCCCCTTTTTGCCTCAAAAGTTGTGTTTTAGCTTGTAGTTATATCCACATGACTATATAAATATGATTTCTCCTCATTGTTAAAAATCACTTTCTTTTATTTCTTAAGATTTATTTATTTTTATTAAAAAGCCAGATACACAGAAAGGAGGAGAGACAGAGAGGAAGATCTTCCATCCGATGATTCACTCCCCAAGTGACCACAATGGTCGGTGCTGCACCAATCCGAAGCCAGGAGCCAGGAACCTCTCCCAGGTCTCCCATGCGGGTGCAGGATCCCAAAGCATTGGGCTGTCCTCGACTGCTTTCCCAGGCCACAAGCAAGGAACTGGATGGGAAGTGGAGCTGCCAGGATTAGAACTGGGGCCCATATGGGATCCTAATGCGTTCAAGGAGAAGACTTCAGCCACTAGGCCACTGCACCGGGCCCCAAATCACTTCCTTTCATAGATTTAACTGTAACTTAGTATGTTACACAGCCAACATCACCGCAAGCTGCATTTCCACACCACCAACACCAAGATGAGACAGCATCAATGAGTTCTTTCCCAAAGCAGGGTCTAACTGTCCTACATTACCAATTCTGTTTAAAAATCTGGAAATTAGCTCTCCCTGTATCATTTATCTCTTTCAGTTTCTTTCTTAACACCTCTTCTAAGTCTCACAACCATGTTATCAGAACTGCTGCGATTTAACTTCATGTTTTGGTTCGCTGGTTTTGATTTATTTTTTATTTATTTTTATTGGAAAGGCAGATTTACAGAGAGAAATGGCTACAGTGGCTGGAGCTGAGCTGACCTGAAGCCAGAAGCCAGAAGCCTCTTCCCAGTCCCCTACATGCATGCAGGGTCCCAAGGCCTTGGGCAGTCCTCTACTGCCTTCCCAGTCCACGCAGGGAACTAGATGGGAAGTAGAACAGCTGGCACATGCAAGGCAAAGACTCAGCCACCAAGCCATCGTGCCAGGCCTGCTCAGTGTTTATAGCCTGGTGGGTGTGCAGATCCAGTCACTAAGTCAAGGGATGCTTCATCTTCTGGCCTGTATTTTTACTAACGTTACAGATCCCTTTCTCATGAGCAACGATGGGGCTCCCCTGCTTTCTAAACACTTACTTCAGCAGCTCCAGGGTCTTGTGGTCCAGGACAAGGCGCGGGTTTCCGGTCAGGTCCAGTTCTTGCAGCTTGGGAGGCAGGTTTTCTGGTAAAGTCACTTCACTGAGTTCATTACAGCTCAGGTCCACGCACTAAAGGGTCAGTGGAAACAAAAAGATGTCTGGAGCCGTTCTCTACTCTGCTGCTGACAGCCTGACCAACCACTAGACCGCAGTCATCACGTGGTGTCTGAAGGAAGGTAAGAGTCAGGCCCGCTTGCCAACAGAACAGCCAAGGATGCTTTCACGTGACATGCTATAATCCACTGTAAATCCTCTCTAGGACATTTACAATATGCTATGCAATCTAAATGCTATATCAATAATTATTGTTTAGCAAATGACAACAAGGAAATAAAGTGTACAGATGCAATTTTCCAAAAAAAAATTCATATATTTAGCTGAAAGAGAGAGGGAGAAAAAAAGCAAGAGTGAGTGCTCTCATCCGCGAGCTGACTCCCCAGACGCTGGGTGGTTGGGATGAATGGCATGGGACTACAGCTGGGAAACAGGAATACTACCCACATCTCCCATGCTCCTGGCAGAACTCAATGACCAGGGCCATCCACATTGCCTCTCAGGATGTGAACTGGCAGGCAGCCGATTCGGGAGCACAGAATCCATGTTCTCTGATACGGGACATGGGCATCTGCACCAACACATGAAATGACCACTTCTTAGTATTTCTGATCTGTGAATATCAGGCTCATGGTCTGGCACACTGTTCAAATGAGGAAAGAGGAGTTGATGCGCCATTCTATCATAAAGCTATAAAAGTTTTATAAATGCAATAGACTTTTTTTGACTAGCAGAAAATTTATGTTCTTTGTTTCTCTGTTTTTATTACTATACTTAAGCATTAATTAGAGCTGGTGTTGTGGCACAGCACGTTAAGCTTCCACTTGTGGTGCAGATATCACATATGGGACACGGCTGCTTCACTTCTGATCCAGCTCTCTCACAGTGACCCGGGAAAGCAACAGAGGAAAGCCTAAGTCCTTGGATCCCTGTACCCACATGCTGAGAGCAGGGAGGCTCCTAGCCCCTGTTTTTGGCCTGGCCCAGCCCTGGCCATTGTGGCCATTTGGGGAGTGAACCAGTGGATGAAAGACCCTCTCACCATCTCTCTGCCTTTTTTTTTTTTATCTGCCTTTCAGTTAAAAAATTTTTTGTTTTTAAATTAAGCATGAACAGAAAAATCCTAAGCGTAGGAGTTTTTCTTATTGCTCACAAAATCTCTGTGCCTGTTGTGGCCAAGAAAACTACAGTTACAACTTTGATGGGCTTTCTCAAAAGGAAACAAAATCAGCAAAAATATATATACACTCCAAATGGTAAGACACTTCCGAAGAAGCTAAATAAGAACTGGTCAAAGAAGAGTAGCAGGTGTGCCTATCCTACTGAGCATCGGGAGATGCCTCAAGACATCTAGTATCTGGATTCTCCAGCAGGTTCTCCCTCATTGAACTAAAGGGCCATCACACTGATCCAATCAAAAATAGTGCTACTTGTAAATCATATTATTTCTCCTTTCATGAAATTCATGTAAGGCTTAAATAAGGTATACTGAACATCTTCCTTTTATTGGAAAACATTCCTAAATAAGTTAAATCTGTTATGAACCGAGGAGGCAAAAATTGGGTAAAATGTATTTTGGAGAAATGCTTTCTCAATGGATTTCAAATAATACAATGCTTTCGTATAAACGCTTTATGTCATTGCAACTAATGGTCCCAACTAGAGACCATTCTGCTCAGTGAAATAAGTCAATCTCCAAAGGACAAATATCACATGTTCTCTCTGATATAAGGTAATCTCCACGCAAAATACAAGATCATCAGATAACAGGCAAACATGTATATCCATATTCTCATATATGAACTTTATTATGAAGACTAGCATACCAGGAAGTGAAAATATATTGCAATAGGCCTGAGTAAAAGGAGGACTACCAATGATGAACTACCACTGTCCACACCTACAATGTCACAATACACTAAGCAGCAGAATGCTGGACGTGTGACTTCTGTTGAGGAACTCCGTTACTGTTACAATCTACAGGGGAACAGGAGGGAAGGGACTGGGGAGGAGAAGGGGAAATCCCTGTGCCTGTGGAACTGTTACCATGAAAAATAATTTTTAAAATGACCAAATTACAAAACGGGTTTAGTAGGGTGCTTAGTGATAATGATAATGGGGGTGAATTGTGGTGTAGATCTTATTTTGCAATGCACACTGCTGCCCAGGCCCCTGGGCTCCTTGGGCCCCCTGGCCGAGTCTGTCCATCTCACCTAATTCCTCGTCCTGGCTTGGAGCCACCTGGCACATCCCCTGGAGGTGAGGCATAACTGTGCTTTCACTCATCATGCTCTCAGGGTGTTCTCTGCACTGCGCTCCATCCCGCCTGATCGTAGCTCAGCTTCCGTCTGTCAGCTGGAGCCAGCTGCTCCCTTCAGTTCGCTCACCAACCCCCTCATGGCCAGTGAGGTCCTTGAGCCCCGCTTCGCCCTTCGCCTCCTCACACACTGCACTTCGGCCATGTCAAAGCAGTGCCTTCCTGCCTGTGCCACATGCTCATTTACCTACATCTTTCCATGTGCTGCTCTTTTTCCTTGGGACTCTTCTTCAAGCTTTTCTTGCTGTTTAATAATCAAAGTTGCCTCATTCCTTTTAAGACTCAACTCCATGCCAAATTCTGCCATGAGTTCTGTTTCAACTGGATGTCCTTGTTATAATTATCTTACTAATTCTTTCACTACACCTTGACCTCCGAGAAAGCAGGCACAGCCACTCTTCCCTCATCCTAAATGTAGCACACTGGAAAGGGAAGAAGCTCAACAGGAAAGGATGCTTAAAAGGATGAACAAAGGCCTCACGGCCTGGCACATGGCAGGCAATTATTTGCTGAATAACAAATGAATCAATCTTTTAAAGTCCTTTAGTAGTTAGTTCTGCTAGGATGGCAACTGAGATAAAAGTGCCTAGGTTAAGTTCAACCTAGAGTAAATGGCACTGTAAAGTAATTTGGATACATTTAAAATGCTACTTATCTGCATGAAGATGCAAAAGTTTCTTTACTAGAAGAAAACCACAGAAATCACCCTTTAATACTTCCATACATTAAGTCTGTTCACACTAACTATAGGAGGTTGGAGCCAGCACGGTGGTATGCAGGCAAATCCTCTGGCATACAGGCATCCCATATAGACACCAGTTTGTGTTCTGGTTGCTCCACTTCTGATCCAGCTTCCTGCTTATGACCTAAATTAAAAGCAACAGAGGATGGCTCAATTCCTTGAGCCCCTGCATTCACATGAGACCTTGAGGGCCCCTGGCTCCTGGCTTTGGATCAGCTCAACTCTGGCTATTAGGATCACTTCTGGAGTGAAAAAGTAGATGGAAGACCTGTCTGTCTGTCTTCCTCTTTGTAAATCTGCCTTTCAAATAAAAATAAATAAATAAATAAATAAATCCTTGCAAAACTTACAGGAGGGCGAGAGATGCTGCCCTATTGGGGTTTATGTAAGGCACCACTTGGGATTCCTTTATTGTTCTCAACAATGACTGTTGATGTACTCAACAGACATGTGTTGGATAAATAATTGAAAAATTGAAAACATTTTGGTGGACTGAAGAAAAAAACAGTACTAAAATATTTTATGCCATCAAAGTGTTTACCTCTGTTAAATGTACAACTTCTTGAAAACACATTTTTAGGCAATGTTAAATTTGCCTAAAACATGACTAATAGCAAATAACCTCTTTGAGAGTTCACTGTAGGACATGGTTAACCAAAGTTATTATTAAAATTATTTTGCTATGATTAAAGTTTTAGTTATAAAAATGACTGAAAATGGAATTATCCAACTCTGAGAAAAAGTGAGGTAACACACAGCTGAGAAGGGGCTCACCATCAGAGGGGAGCACTGTGCACGCACATGTCAGAACACACAGAACCAGCAGCCTGCCTTAAAGGAGGAGGAACCCAATGGGAGGCACACGACGCACCCTGCCCCCGCCCCCGCTTTCACAACGGCCAGGGCTGGGCCAGGCAGAGACTGAATTCCAACCAGGTCTCTCTCATGGGCGGCCAGGGCCTGCGCGCTGCAGCCATTACCCACTGCCTCCCAGTACGTATCAGCAGGAACCCGGATCAGAAGCAGAGGGGCTAGTGTCCCAGCTGGTGGCTGAGCCCGCAGCACCATAACACCCATCCTGTGATTTCCTTTAACGTTTAAAAATAGTTAAACATACCATGATATTATTCTTTAAACAAGCAGTATGCATACAGTGTAATGTTATTAAATTACTCATTTCTCATTAAAAACATGCTTTAGGGCTCAGTTTGCAGGGAAGGCTTTCACAGGTATATTTATCACTTGGGATAGCATAAGTGGTTTTTTAATCAGAAATTGTATTTTAGACAGTTTAAATGTGTGCAAAATTAGTATCAAGTGTTATATGAAAGAACACCAAAATATCAACTCAGAAGTCCAAAATAATTTGACTACTATTCTTTAAAATAACATGTGTTCAAGGATGCAAAATTTATATTTTCTATTCAAAGGAGAATTATTTAAACTCTGCACCTCTCCTCTAGATTTATTAAGAACAAATCTAGTATTTAGTACACTTCCATCTACCATTAAATAGCCTGATACTGTTAACAGGAGAAAAAATCGTAAGATATGACAGCTGTGGAGCCAAGGAAGAAAACCAACAAATAAGAGAAGAATGGAAACCATTTAAAAAGCCATGTGAAAAATACCCTTGACAAGGAGTTGTACAGCAGGGTACAGAGAGAAGACAACGGGCATGGAGTTCCAACAGCACTTGAAGGCATATTCTATAGAATCCAGAAGCATAAGCAAAATTCTGGGGAAGGCTTTCATTTTAATACACCAAGGCCATATTTCATACAGTCTAGTCAAATCGTGAATCGGTTTGTATTTTTCAATCAGACACTTAAAAAAATAAAAAAAAATGATCTAACCTCGACTTAAGAATGACATAACATTAAAATACGTAACAGGTGTGGAAAATAAGACTAGCAAATAGGATGCTAATCTCAAGCCTGTGCTTCAGGTGTGTGACAGAGCCCGGCTCGGCAAGGTCCTATAGGAGATGCCACTGCACAGCTACCACGGCAAGCAAGAGGCAGCTTCCAGACCTCCGGAAACCAAGCTGTCCGTATCTTACCTGTACCGGAGACAAAGAGGGTCTGCTTCAGCTGCATTTCCTACATCTTATTGAGCTTTATGCAAAATAGTTGCTCTACATGGTCAACATCACAGTGGAATTCTATTAACAATGGCTAACATTTAAAGGAGTTCTTCCTTGTGCCACCCCTATTTCAATCACTTTGCATGTGTTATTTCATCATGCCTAACAAGACTGTAAAGGAAATGCTATTCTTTCCCTAGTTTACATATGAGGAAACAGACCACTTCAACAATATTCAGCTGGGATCCAATTCTATATTTGCCTCCCTGAAGTTATGAGCCCTGCACTTTACCACGTGTAAAGTGCTACACAGGAAGTGCAAGGACATTTCTTCCAGGTTGTCTAATAAGCATTCTAAAATGCTGTAGTGATATATGATAGTACTCTTAAGGCTCATAATAAAATGTTATGCCAAAGTACAAGCACACATACAAACCTACAGAATAGTTTGTACACTATCACCACGTAAATGTATAAAAATCGGTATAATGAGCAATTATACATGCTAGTTAATGTTTTTAATCGTTTATACAGTTCCTTTATGTGATGCTTAAGGCTTCCATCACATGGTGTGTAAAAGATGGAAGGTGGCCAAGTAGGATTATTTTTGTCTGCATCAAGAGATCAGGGTGTATTTAAGTCTACATATAGCAGTTATTTATTACCACAAAACTGATCAATTAAAATGTTAAAGATGCAAACACTGTGTGATCAAGAAAAAAAAAAACTTTACACTTCTGTTCTCCAACCCACTCAGCAACCACAGGAAACCAATCAGTAATACAAAGTTGCCAGATAGCTTTCACTCCTGGTAGTTTCATTACATGTGTCAATTACAATTAAAAAAGAGACAGGAATTGCAAACTGCCACGAGTTTGGTGTCTTCATTTACATATATCACTTCCCTTTTCAGCACTTTGGTGCATCATGTATCAAATGAAAGTAACATTTGCTCATGTCAACGATTGCTTGGCGACAACAGTGACACTGTACTATATACTGGGAATGGTCACTACTGTGGTAGTGTGTGTGCTATGTAACTAGATGAGTTAGGAAAGAAGGCTGTGTACTGGTACTAGTCATTTTCTCAAACTGCTGCTAGAGCAGGCTCGTTCTCCGAGTCTCACGAGCACTCTGGAAATCAGCAGGATATGTAGAGTTGCACAGGAAAGCAGCTGTGCTATCTACGAGGTGAAGGGACACAACCTGCCCATGCCCAGGCCATCAGGAAGGGTGGCACAGGGCCAGTGGGAGCCTGCAGCCCGAGGAAACACAGCGAAGACCCCGACCCTCAGAACTGGTGAATGATGGCAACCGGCCCTCACTGAGGACACCAAGCTGAGCTTGTGAAATCAAACCACACACCTTGACTTCTGGAAGCTGCATGACTTCAGGGAAGACTTCGATGCAATTGGAGTGAGCAATCACAGTGTGCATGCGCCGGCAGTTCAGGATAGTTGTTGGAATTGCTTTCAATTTATTCCCACTGATATCAATTTCTTCAAGTTCCTCCAGTTTTGCCATTTTACTAAAAGAGACCAATTCATTGGGTAAGGGAGTTATACAATAATTACAAAGCAATTCCTAAAAAATGAGATTCGAAAGAATAATTTATTATCACTTTAAAGATTCACTCCTAATAGTCATTTTTACAACCAAGTTACTGCTCTTTTATTATTTTTTAATGTTAAAATATTTGTTTAAGATTTATTTATTTTTATGGGAAAGTCAGATATACAGAGAGGAGGAGAGACAGAGAGGAAGATCTTCCGTCTGATGATTCACTCCCCAAGTGAGCGTAACGGCCGATGATATGCTGATCCGAAGCCAGGAGCCTGGAACTTCTTTCCGGGTCTCCCATACAGGTGCAGGGTCCCAAGGCTTTGGATCATCCTTGACTGCTTTCCCAGGCCACAAGCAGGGAGCTGGATGGGAAGTGGAGCTGCCAGGATTAAAATCGGCACCCATATGGGATCCTGGCGCATTCAAGGTGAGGACTTTAATCACTACGCTATCGTGCCAGGCCCTGCATTAAAATATTTTAACACCCCCTTTCTTACTATAGAACAAAAATGTAGCTTCATGTCTTCAAACTGACAAAAAGAATAAAATGCTGTCCCTTTCCTAATAAAAGCTTGTGTCTAAATTAAGTTACCTTGGTAACAGTTTCTTTGCTGTGTAGCTTAGTCTGCACTCCAATGAAAATCCTACTGAAATGGGTCAAACAGCATCATCAATCCAATGTAACTGCTTTAAAAAAGCTAGTTTTGATCATGATTTCTTTTTACTGACAGAAAATTCAAGGTGATGTAGAATAGTACAGGGCCACAGCTCAAGGTAAGATATGTGTTCTTCAACCTTGCTTCCCGAGGTCCAATGACCACTCACAATTATAAATAAGGCAGTGGTGAGGAGCAGGGGCTGTGTCCAAAGGTGAGTTCAATGATCTGGCCCTTCTGGGAGGGACCACATTCAAAACAGACTGAAAAGGCCTTTTCCCCCCAACTCTTGTTAACCACCTACAAAGAAGAAACCTCTCCAATCTTACCTCAATAAATGTAATTTAATAATTTAGCAATTTAACATTTAAGAACACTGCTTTTATTATTCAGCTGACATCTTTATAAGCTTAATGATTACAGTGACTAAATTTTAAAAAATGCAAGAGTCAGGGATTCTTGCACTGTGTAAAGTTGGTGTGGAAAAAAAAAAATAACCCTTCTAACTTCTGCAATCACCGTGGTAGCATCCATTTTTCTGGCTTTCTTTCTACCAGTGATTCCAGTTAGACTAACTTTGTAGTATGAAGTACTTCACTTATAGCACCTTCTCTGCTTATCATGTCACTTGTTATAACACACAACACATTTTGAAGACATTTAGCTAGACAGCCACACTCTGTCTCCATTATCTCAATTATTAAAGGTTATTTTATTTACTTATCTTGAAAATAAGTATGTGCCTAGAATATAGCAAGAACTGAGTTTTATAAGGACATAAGTTGTGGTATCATGAACACCCAGGGCTATGAGGACATACTACGAACAACATTCACACACAGATTGTGAACTAATCCATCTACGATAGCCTGGATTTATTTAGGAATATTACTTGAATAAATGTCACTTTAAGAGAAACATGGCGCAACCACTGGGTGATGAGCATCGAAAATGACTGAAGGTACAGAACTCAGACCCAAGAAAGGAAATGTTAAACATGTATCCATCTTTTATCATAGAAAGTCAATGAACAACCTGGTTGCTGGGACACATTTTCCAATTCAGAAGCCATTTGCTGAGTGTCTACCGTGGGCCAGACCTGGTATTAGGTCTGAGGCTGAAGCAGACAGGACAACCCAGCCCTAGTCCTAACTCTTAAGGAGCTTAGGTCTTCCCAGGGAGCCTGTGTGCTGTATTACAGCTTCCATAGACAGACTGTAGCAAGATGCACTGAACATGGCTCTGTAATTAAGGCAGTACATCTGGCAAGGGTCACTTGGCATTAGAACTTAAGTTCATGGGTTCGGCATAGTAGCCTAGTAGCTAAAGCCTTCACTTTGCATGCGCAGGGATCCCATATGGGTGCTAGTTCTAATCCTGGTGGCACTACTTCCCATCCAGCTCCCTGCTTGTGGCCTGGGAAAGCAGTCAAGGACGGCCCAAAGCCTTGGGACCCTGTATACGTGTGGGAGACCGGGAAGAAGCTCCTGGCTCCTGGCTTTGGATTGGCTCAGCTCCAGTTGTTGTGGCTGCGTGGGGAGTGAACCATTGGACGGAAGATCTTCCTCTCTGTCTTTCCTTCTCTTTGCATATCTGACTTTCCAATTAAAAAAAATCTTATTAAAAAAAATAACTTCGGATCATTCATCCCCCCCAAACAGGGCACTGAGTCCATTCAATCTTTTCTTAAAAATGTTTTGCTTACTTATTTATTTATTTGAAAGGTAGAAAGATCTTCCTTTTGTCTGTTGAAATGACCAGAGCTGTGCCTGGACTGTCAGGAACTGATTCCCAGGCTCCAGGCTTGAAAGACTGGTAGGTAGTCCTAGGGGATAACATCATGGTACAACATGCTAAGCCAACACTTGCAGCCTTCGCACCCCATGATGGAGTGTCAGTTCCAGTTCCAGCTGGCTTGATTCAGACCCAACTTCCTGGTACCATGGTCCAAGTACATGGGTCCCTCACCATGTGGGAGATCCAGATGGAGTTACTGGTGTTACCCTTGCCCAACCAGCCATGGCTGTGTGACCGCTTCGGGAGTGAGCCAATAGATGGAAGATCCCACCCTCCCTTCTGTTGCTCTGCTTTGGAAATGAAATGAAAGGAAAGGAGAAGAAGGGTAGGGTAGGGTAGGGTAGGGTAGGGTAGGGTCGGGTAGAGTAGGGTCGGGTCGGGTAGGGTCAGGAAGGAAGGAAGGAAGCAGAGGGCAGCTGTGCTAGTGCTCTGAGTTGGCCCTGATGCTGAGTTCTAGCTATCAGCAGAATACCAGAAGGCTTGTTTTGATGTGTGTGAGTTCCATGTTCCAACCTGTTAGATGGACATGTGCTCATGAAGTGGACATGCAGGAGACCCTCATGGCAGGCTCAACGTAGACTTCCTCAAGAGCAAACACAATGCTGCTGCTCCTCAGAAGCAGAACTTAAAATGAAAACAAACTAAACAAGGAAGTCTTCCAAGAGGCATAATTTGCAATGGCACACAGTGCTTTCTATACACCCTGAGCACAGAAAAAAAAGCCGGTAGCTAATGGAGATTCTCCAGGTTCCCAGTTTACACTCCAATGCCCACACACCATATTGGTGTCTCTTAAAAAATTCTGCTTGATTGGTTAAGCAGAGGCAAAGAAAAAAATTAACCTACAAAGTAAGATATTTTTATTTCAAATGATTAAGAATATATAGAGATTTTTCTTTTGTATGCAATCATATTAGACAAATCAACACAGTTTTTCTTAGGAAAATGTCACTCAGCTTTGCGCAGTGGCAGTATCGTAGCCAATGAGGTTTATCCTAGGCACGATTATTGCTAAAAGAAAAATGTCACTCAAAGCTTGGATAAGACAATTGTAGATGAGTGAGAAACAAGCAAGGAAGCTTTACACCCTTGGGAAATAACCACATCAGCTTTTATGTTTTCCCTTTCTACCTAGAGATTTATTTTTCAAAACTGTTTATGGAGCATCTAATACATGTCAAGTGTTACACCAAGAAATCAGTTAATAAACAAGACAAATGATCAAACAAAAAAAATGCTGTTAAGAACACCAACCCCTTTATATCCTCTCTTACCTTGCTGGAAAACTCTGGAGTCTGTTATAGGCCATGTGAAGGATCTTCAGATGGGGGTGCCCTGTTAACAAGGGCACACATTTGTCCGTGAGGTTGTTATTTGTCAAGTACAACTCTTGCAGGATACTGTTTGTCTCTTCACAAAGTGTAGCTGGAGGAAGGCTTTCCAGTTTGTTGGCAGATGCATTCAGGAATCTCAGGCTACAATGACAAAATGCAGCATATTTGTGTCAAGCCAGAGCGCTACTCCAGAACCCTCAGCAAACCTAGAAAGTGATCAATGGCACCGTCCTAGACGCTGGCTGAGAAACACGGATGGAAAGATAGGCCCAGGCTTCAAGCAATTTGATGTAGCAGGCATAGGATCCCTGGCCCACTTGTTAGGATAAACACAATAACTATTAAGGCACAGTAAATAAGACATAAATAGATAATAACTGAGGCACAAAGGAAACTATTTTACAGCTGGTGGTGAGTAGAGGGGAAACTGATGAGGTATACATTCTGACTTAAGGCAGAGAAAAGCAATCACTTCCTTCTTTTAAATAAAAGGTTTAGTAATCTCAGGTATTAGATCATTACACAACTGAATCACATAGTGACTAAGTCCTTTTCAGTATCATGAACAAACCACCACATTCTACTGACTTACAAACTCACAACTACAGGTAATCATTTGCTCTGTGTTAAAAACAATGGAGTACTATATAGTAAAGAGAAGGAAGAAGTACAGACATCTGTATCAACAGGGATAAATCTCCCAAATATAATGCAGAATGAAAAAGTCAGTCATAAGAACATACACTGCACAATTCTATAACCATGAAGTTCAAAGTCAGCCAACACTAAGCATGGAGATACAAGTCAGGGATGGGTAGTTCTCGGTAGTGAGGCTACGGTGTCTAACACTCTTCATATTGCACTACACTGCTTCTTGGTCTGGATGCTGCTTGCACCAGTTACCAGTCAGTGACCACGCTGAGAAAATTCAAGCGAGATACTTATTATCTGGCCACTTTTCTGTATCAATACTTCAATCAAATGTCCACTACAAACAAGCAAGATAATATAGGCTGCCACGGTTCCCACATGCTAACAGTAGACGACAGATACAAGCTAAAGGACAGTTTCACTGCTAAGATAACCATCCTGTTACAGGCCACACAGTTCTTCCAGTTACTGAGACACAGATAAAAGCACAATACAAAGCTGGGGACTGAAACACAATCCTCCTTGTGATCAGGTTCCAAGTCATTCTGAAGGAATGAGCCGGATAGGGCAGGAGCGCACCAGGCCCATTGCTTCCGAGTCAGGTGATCGTCGGCACGGCGTGATCTGCGCACAGGTGCAGGAACTGGGGAGAAGCGGGGAGGCCGAGCACCCAGCTCAGGCCCACCGGGGAGAGTCAGTGCAGTTATAAGTGCTTTGCCCATCCTGTTAATAAGCCACACCCTCCTCTTCTTTCAGATTCGTGTGCCTAAACTGTCCGCATTTGATTCAAGCCTCCTCTGCCATGTGCTATGGAAAAAGAATAAAATCTTCCTTAGTAGGCACATTTATTTTTAATCTTGGAAAAAAAAGGATTTATTAGGACTGTCATCCGAGGCTCCCAATTCGCTGATCTTACTCACTCCATTTTTACACATACCGTATATACACACACGCACTTATATACACACCAATTCCATTACTTATCTGAGGAAAAGCAGCTTCCCTAAAATAGAACATTTTCCATTAAAGAAACATGTATTCTGTTGACATTTTAAAAAAAAAAGGAAGTTAGAGAAGGGCTGCACAGACCATAAATAGTCATGGGAAATTATTGTCATGTGTGCTACAGAGAAGAAATGAAGGTCATTCATGCAGTGTCTGAAACGGTTTTGAACCAGGAAGGAAACCAGGTCCAGCACCATCATCCTCTAAAGTATTTTTATGACTGTTTCTTTAGGTCCCATTTATACCATCTGATTTAAATATCCTGTTAGGAATTTCTTCCATGTAGAATTAGAATAAATTAAAACTCTTAAGAATACATTTTAAGGTCCCAAAATATCATTGACTGAGGTTGGTTGGGAAACTGTCTGACAATCTCATTATAATACAATTCTCTAGGAAATATGCGGTTACAGACACAGAAGAAGAGAGGAGAATGAACTCATGAATGCATATTTTTAGGCTAGGAAAAGGAGGAATGTCATTTTAAAAATACTGACAAGGCAATGCTCATCTTAACAGTTTGCCAAAGGGACTTAAAGAAACCTCATGGAATCTGAGGGAAGGGAAGAACAGGACTTACAAAAAGATCTATTCTCTCGCCTTTCTGAAATTTGTACTTACATAACTATATGGTTTATGGAAAATTTAAAAAACCCTGCACCATATCTTTCCAGGAAAACGGAACTACTTTACTTAAAACTACATGGGTCACAGCATTAAAGTATTCAAGTTACACTGGGGTCGCAAAAAGCAAAGAAAGCAAAAAGATAAAACCAAGACAACAATAAAACCCAAAAACTACCCGGGCTGGTTCCGAAGGATACTGAATGGCCTAACATCCAACTGAATCGCCTCATTATATACTGGTCAAAGAGCAAACAACTAGACTGATTTTTTTTAAAACTATCATGGTCTTAGGAAAATTAAATCTATCACCCATCCTCTAAGAACACCACTTCCTCCCACGTCCACAAAGCTGCAGCAGGAGACAGGAAACTGATGCTCCAGGTGTCATTCTTCATCGCAAGGAATTCTTCACCAGCTTTGCAAAACTTCTACAGTATGGGTGACAGTCTCGCTTAATAAACGGGTTGTATAATCAGTTTGAATCCCTGCTTTTAACCCCATAAAAACCCTATAAAAATTTTTATAGCACCAGGTTTGGTTTCCATCTACTCTGATATGCTAATTATCCTCAAATTTTTCTGTTAGACATTTTTGTAACAGTTGTATAAGGTTGTTCAGTGTGTCAAGAAATGGCTCATCTATAGGTGCCTTCTCATCATATAGCTCTCTTCTAATTAGAGAAAAAGTAGTACATGACATCACTGCTTTCATTTGTTAAGGTGATATGTGTAGGTCACAGCTCTTCCCAATTTCATTTCTCATTAGATTCTCCTATCATCCCATTGACAGCCCCCTCTATTTCACAAAAGACTGAAAATAAAGCTATGAAAGTAAAATTGCTTGGCAAAGTTTAAGTAGTAACTGGTGGCACAGACTGACATAAAACCAGATCTTGTCAACCTTAAAGCCACTGTTTACAAACACATTTCCTCAAAACTTCAACATGAAAACAAAACAAAACATTAAAGGCCTTTTTGAGAGAACATATTCATGGTCCCTTTCCTCCAAAAAAAGTTGGAAGTCAGGCAGCACCTATTGGGTAAGGAGACACCACAGAACAGCAAATAGCACAGGACTTAGAAACTTGTCTAAGCAAAAAGTGCCAACATCACGTAGGAAAGACACTCAAAAATGGCTCCCGCCCAGGAGTACTTGGAAAGTGGCCCGCAACAGCAGTGGGACAAGTCCATTTCCTGCCTTCGGAGCAAACGCTCTGTTCTGTTTTGGCACATTCTGTCCATCTGTCTCATCTATGGTTTTGGTTTTGTTTGCTTTTGAGTAATTTCTAAAACAATCTTAAATTTTACAGTCAGATCCTGTCCCTTGAAAGAGCACAGGATTTTGACAAATTCACCTGTTGGGACATATGGAAGGTATTCTGCATTGAATCATTTTTATGTAAGTCCATACTGGGACCGGCTTTCCTGTTACAATTGCCAAGCCCAGTGAGAACTCCTCCTTTTGTCCTCAGAATACAGCATGTTTGACAAGCTCATCTACTTCCACAAAGCAGGGAACTCTTAAAGCTGCGGCTTTCCAACTTTGTACGATGGTAACAAAGGATATGTATTGTGTATGACCAGCAAGTACACATGCTACACACGTGTAACTGCTGCAAGTTTCATTAGCTCTTACTTTTTGATGTTACTGATATTTCCTACACTAAACTTTCTAAGCATTGCTTATGACACACTACTACATTAATGATACAACCTGCTAATCAGTTTGAAAAACAGCCCACCACTATCTATGGTTGGACAAAATCACCTAAGTAGTAGAGATTATAAGTGAAGAAAGAATTCTATGTAATAAGTTAATAGAAATTACACCATTGTTGTGGAGGTATGAGAAACAGCCTAGCTTGGGAAGCAAAGATTATAAAGGCAAAAAGTAGAGGAAATAGCATTACATAGATTTAATAATTGTCAAGCAAAAGGTCAAAAAAATAATTTTAAAAAGAATCAATTCAGGGCCCAGCGCGGTGGCGCAAGTGGTTAAGGTCCTCGCCTTGCACGCCCGGGATCCCATATGGGCGCCGGTTCTAGTCCCGGCAGCCCCGCTTCCCTTCCAGCTCCCCGCTTGTGGCCCGGGAAAGCAGTCGAGGACAGCCCAAGGCTTTGGGACCCTGCACCCACGTGGGAGACCCAGAAGAGGCTCCTGGCTTCGGATCGGCATAGTATCGGCCGTTGCGCTCATTTGGGGAGCGAATCATCGGATGGAAGATCTTCCTGTCTCTCCTCTCTATATGTCTGCCTTTCTAATGGAAATAAAATAAATCTTAAAAACAAAAAAGAATCAATTCATAAAAAAAAGAATCAATTCATGCTGATGCAAAAGTATAAACTGATCTACGGGCCCGATCCTAACTGAATGACTATCGCATTAATGTTGTTTATATGACTGAGGATCCAATCAAGGATCCCAAGCTACGTTTTGTTATCCTGGAATCCTTAGTTTTCTCTAACCATTATTCCTGGTTTAAAACAATCGTAACGCTTTTGTGTAGCACCAAACAATTATTTTGCAGAATGTCTCTTCAATTAACTTTACCATCATTGAAATAAGGTAGTGCATCTTGGGCAAAAATGTCACAAAAGTCCCATGTGTCTCAGCGTATCCTGTAGCACATCTTGGTACGTCTTGGTGCATCACAGGCATTGCTATCAACTACATGGCTGGTGCCAAGGTCATACTATTGGTCTGAGCTTCAACTACTTGATTCATCGGTGTCTGCCAAGTACCTCCCCTGTAAAGTGAGAATGTTTTTTGCAGTTAGCAAATTTGCAGGAGATAATTTGAGACTAGGCTAATATCCTGTTTCTCATCATATTTTCACACATTAATTCAGCATTCTTGCT